ACCTTCCTTGACCACACATCTCCCTTCATTTAAAAATCTTTCCTTCACAGAAAGAACTCCCCTACGAGTCGTTGTCTACATTATTGTCTCTAACTTCTCACCCCTCATTCACTCTTAACTATTGTAATCCAAGGTCTATTCCCACTGTTCCCCTGATCTGTGTTTCTCAAGGTCACCAGCAACCTACATATTGCCAAATTCAAAGGCACTCCTCTGTCCCCCTGTTACATGATCTTGTCATCACCTAGCAGCACTCCCTCCTTATTCAGCATTTCTTTTCTTGGTCTGTGTGCATCTCATTCTCTCCTGTCTTCTCACCTCCAAAGCCATTCCTCTTTTCTTATGTCTCTAAATGTGCAAGTTCCTAGGGGGTCCTCTCGTAAGCCTCTGACTCTTCTCTTTCTATACTCTCTCTCAATGACGTCCTCTATTTCCATGGCTTTAAATCCCCAAAGTAATATCTCTAGCAGAGACCTGGATCCCCTGACTCAGAGTCAACGATATACTTGACATTTTCATTTAGATTCAGGCACAATGAATATGAAAACCAAAGTCATGGTTTTCTTCCCACAACCAGTTATTCCCCAGTCTTCTCATCTTAGTAAATGACAATGTCACCTACCCATTCCATACGCATCCCTGTGTCACATTATCATACATGAATCCACTATGGATTCCACCTCTAGCAGTGTGCCCTGCTGTCACCCCCCCAGCCAAGGTCCCTCATTGTCTTGGTATGATGGCCGCAGCCTTATCACTGACATCTCTGCTTCCTCTCCAATCCCTTTTCCACAACATAGACATGACATGCTTTTTATATAGTAAGTCATTTTCCTCCAACTTAAAAACATTCAGAGCCGGGCTCGGTGGCTCAGCCTGTAATCCCGTGCCTTGGGAGGCTGAGGTGAGTGGGTTCTAGAACTGCCTGGGCAACTTGGCGAGACCTCATCTCTACAATAAATCAAAAATCAGCCAGGCGAGGTAGCGCGCGCCTGTAGTTCCAGCTACTCGGAAGGCTGAGGCGGAAGGATCGCCGGAGCCCAGCGGGTCGAGGCTGCAGTGACCGGGAGCGGCCACTGCACTCCAGTCTGGGTGACAGAGTGAGACTCCAACTCCAAACAAACAAACAAAAAACATTCAATATCTTCCCAAATGCACATAGAAGAAATTCTAAGTCCTTCATGATGCCTACAGACCTCTAGATAACAAGACTCCTGATTATGTCTTTAATGGTACCTTTCTCCAGCCAGCCTGGCCCTTTTTCACCCTCAGGGCATTTGCACATGATTTTCTTGCTCCTGAGAACATGAACACTGTTCACGTCTCACTCTGTCTAGTTAAGTCTGATTTGTTCTTTAGACCAGGGGTCCCCAACCCCCAAGGCACCAACCAGTCCCAGTCCGCGGCCTGTTAGGAACCAGGCTGCACAGCAGGGAGTGAGCGGCAAGGGAGAAAAGCTTCATCTGTATTTACAGTCGCTCTCCATCACTCGCATGACCGCCTGAGTTATGCCTCCTGTCAGAGCAGCAGGTGGCATCAGATGCTCCTGGGAGCACAAACCCTACTGTAGACTGCACATGGAAGGGATCTAGGTTGCCTGCTCCTTATGAGAATCTAATGCCTGCAGATCTGAGGTGGAACTCAGGTGGAGATGCTAGCCCTGGGGAGCAGCTGCAAAAACAGATTTACATTAACAATGAGGTTTGAATGCACAGAGACTGTAATAAATCAATTGCTTGCAGACTCATATCAAAACTGAAAGGGCAGAACGAGAGTAGGAAGCCATTTTTCATCTTGTTCTTAAACCCTGACACAGTGACAAGAAAGTAGAAGCTATGCTTTTGGAGAAATGCACACTTAGTAAAATTAACTTTGCCGACTTTGTCTTTTCAGAAATCGACTTCCTGGTGCCAGGTATCAGAGGTCTCTCATAGTGGCAATCAAGCTTGCCTAAAGTAAAGGGAATTTACAAGGCCTAAGACATCATGCACTGGGCAAGGATTATAAAAGTCATAAAACTTATAATTACAAAAGCTGTGACCGCTCAGAGGGGGAGCAAGTGGGGATTCCATCTTCCAGTAAATTGGGCCCTATCTAGGGGAAGCCAAGGATCCCCCGAAGCTACCCACTGGGAAAGCCTAGGAGATAAGGGGAGGTGCACCCTCCATTAGGTCTAAGGAATGTCATTTGGGAAGGTGCAGGAGGATTAGAATCCTTGTCATGCCCTTCTCTAGGGGCTGTGATCATGTGGACGGACATTAGTGGGTCTCTGTGTCACAGGTTCTCCAAGACATCCACAGTGATCGATAAGGAAGTCACGGCTGTCACGTGCAACATCTCCAAGAAGAGGATTTAAGCCTGGGGGGCTACGACGCCACACTCACCTAGAGTGTAGGCCCACTCCCTGTCTGTGGAGGGTGAACTTTTCTTAAATCTCTTCTTCTCTCACCTTGCAATTCTTTGCATTTACTCGAATCTCTGGGTTCTCAGTGCGCCTCCGGCCTGCCAGCTCCGGCGGGGCTGCGCAGGCCCCTCTCCCCTGCGCCTCTCACCTCTCTGTACACCCTCACGCTGTCCGTACCCTAACAAGAACACTGTTGGTGGGCAGCCCCTTCGGGTCTCCTCCCACTGTGGGAGCTTTTCTGTCCTCTTAATAAATCCTACTTTCAAAAAAAAAACCTATTAGTGAGTGATAAGTGAGTTGATTGTACTTCAATTGGACAGTTGCATCTGGTGGCAGGCTTTAAGTCAGAATCCGACACTTATTTTAGTCTGCACATGGCCTGCCCATTATTTTATTTACCACCTCCATCTGTGCTTCTTTTTTTTTTTATGGTGAGTTGTATAATTATTTAACGATACATTATAAGGTAATAATAATAGAAATAGAGTACACAATAATGTCATGTGCTTGAATCACCCCCAAACCATCCCCCGACCCTGCGCTAATATGTGGAAAAATTGTCTTCCATGAAATCAGTCCCTGATGCCAAAAAGGGTAGAGACTGCTGCTTTAGACCACACTTTCAATCTCTCTCTCTCTCTTATGTGTCACTTCTTTGGGGAATGTGAGGTGGTCTGTGACCTCTCTGACATAATCAAACCCCAGCCCTTACAGTCTTGCATAGCACCACGTATCTTTCCTTGCTATTGTCTTGGTTTTAAGAGGAGTTGATGAATGCCTATGTCTACCCACCCTAGAGAATCTGCATGAGGGCAAGGAGAGTATTTGTTTTTATTAACCCAGTTCCGAATATAATTCCTGGAACATAGTAGTTGCTCAAGAAATACTTGCAGAATGAATGAATGCTTGCTATAGAACATTAGATCCTATGGGAATATATTCATCAAGCCATTAAAGAAAAAGGATAAAAAGAATAACTATGTGGATTTAAATGACAGTTATTAGCTTTGTGTATACACACTGTATGGCGAGTCCTATACACATGATTCTTATACCCTAATTGTAACAGGAAAAATGAAACCAACTTCTCCATCTCCATCCTACCCACACACTCCCAACACACACATCCACAGCATAATTTCAAAGTTCAGTGGAAGTATGCAAAGGGAAGCCTGGAACTGACATATTTGTGAGTAGGGACATATTTTGAGTAGGGACAAAAATAAGAAATTTTTCCTGCCCAAAAATAAGAAAAAAAAAGGTCAGGGGAAGGGACATTTCTCCTAAGAGAGAAAGGAAGAAAAGAGAAGCATGAGGAAAGAACAGGAGTTGAAGTAAGAGCTCAGGGACTTTTGTAAAGAGAAAAATGCCTAAAATTAAAGTTCAGGTTGTTAATGCTGCTACAACGTCCACCTTTCTGCCCTTCCAACTCCTCAGCAATGTCTGCTATGCTCCTAAACTTAGATCAAGACAAAGTCACCAGAAAAAGGAGGAGAGAGTCTGGGTCATCCAGGAGACACAGGTGTCCCTCTCCTGTATGTCTTGTTTATATTTGTATGACACTTCTCTAACTTCATTTGTTCTGTGCACTTGACTGGAAAGTGTCCTGATCATCTTTGGGTTTGCAGGAATAAGCCAACTTGCTCCAGAAGATGGCGAGATGCCATATAAATGGAGTGCCTTGTCCAGATGAACTCCTGAATCTCCCAACCTCATTGTTCTCACCTTCCTGCCCCAGTTACAGCCTCACTTTGGGCCTTGGATTCAGCATACATCTTTAGACTTCCTCATACCACCATGGCTCCCCTTGGTCATAATTCTAGCTCTTTACTGGCAACAAACTCATAGTCAGAACACTCCTCTGTTCCTGTATCATTGGGCCCGACTTACACGGATGTCTCAATTACCCAGTTTGAACCTGGCCCACTGGCAGGAATGAGCCAGAGACCATTTAACATTGTATCTCATCCATACCAAAGCTGAAAAAATGATCACCAGATTCTGTCAAAATTAAATAAATTAAGTAGTAGCAACTCTCCAGAATGTTTGCTAAAAAGTCTATCAGTTGAGTTGTGCTTTAAGTATTACATTTTATTACTACTTTAAGTATTAAATAATACTTAACATACTACTTTAAGTAATTATTACTATTTTAAGTAGTAAGTAATACTACTAGTATTTGCTGTGTTTCTCAACTTTTTAATTCAGCTCTGCTGGCCAAGATTTTGTAATGCCTCACTTTCTCTAAGAGGTCACTGGAATAGAGAGTGATTTTTTTGCTTTTTAATAATTTAGAATGATGCTACAAAATGCTGTAATATTAACTGTGATTATTGCAACACCGCAGCCCTTCCAGTCCACCCTCGTCTGTGATAGCACTTCCCTGTCCCACCATCCTTTGCTGATTACAGAAGGGCTGGAGAGATGAGAAGTTCTTCCACTGTTTGATGGAGAATCTCTGTGTTAGGGTGGGGAAGGCCACTATACAGAAGTTCCTTTCTTCTTTAGACCAAAAGTAACCAAGAACAATAAAAACACATGAATTCATTACATTTAACGAACAATGCCAAGAGAACAACTAAGTAATCTGACCTACCCATCCAGGAGGGCGATGACATTCTTCCTGGGCCGCCCAATATTGGGGCCATACAAGCTGGCTCTGGAGTAAATTCGGATGGGCTGCAGCAGGCTCTTCAGCTGGATGTAATCCTTTCCCAACTGGCTGCCATTTACTGCCCGGCCATGCATGGTCCGATAGTTATTTGGCTCTAGATTAAAAGCAGACACATAAGTCAGAGTTGAGAAGGGTAAGGCCCTGCCAACCCTTTCCTGTCCACAGGTTTCTCTGCCTTTTTCTTAATAGTATGAGTAAAATAACCAAAATAGAGAGGGTGCATTATCTTAACTTAAGGAACCACTCAAACAAAAAGGTCAGGGTAGCAAAAAGCAGTACCATCTTGCTGTTCTATTCATTTTCAAACTAATCTTCAATAGAGATCATATTGGTTTTCAGGTTATATTTTATGATGAATGTTGTACTGGAATGAATAATATTCCCTGCTCAATCCACTCCTCCCAAATTTATGTCTGTCCGAACTTCAGAATGTGACCTGATTTGGAAGTAAGATCTTTGAATATGTAAATAGTTAAGATAAGGTCAGTTGGGTGAACACAGTACCTCGTTCCTATAATACCAGAACTTTGGGAGGCTGAGGATGGGTGGATTGCTTGAGCCCAGGCGTTCAAGACCAGCCTGGGCAACATAGCAAGACCTCATCTCTACAGAAATAAAAATAAAAATTAGCTGGGCATGGTGGTGTATGCCTGTAGTCTTAGCTCCTTGGGAGACTAAGCTATGATCCTACCACCAAACTCCAGCCTGAATGACAAAGCAAGATCTTGTCTCAAAAACAAACAGAAAGATTAGGTCATACTGGATTAGCCTTGGCCCCAAATCCAGTGACTGCTGTCTTTATAAGAGAAAGCAGAAGGAAGTTCAGACACACAGGGAAGAGTGCCATGCCATGATGGAGATAAAGACTGGAGAGAGAGTGACTAGGCTAAGGATTTCTGCTAAGAAAATAGCAAAACAAAGCAAAAGAATTCATATAGTACTCTAGGCAATATTTCTTTTTTATTGTTGAGTCTGAGTCTCACTCTGTCACCCAGGCTGGAATGCAGTGGCACGCTCAAGGCCACCCTGGTGTCGAACTTCTGGGCTCAGGCAATCCTTCCACCTCAGCCTTCCAAGTAGCCAGAACTACAGGCGCATGCTATCATGCCTGGTTAATTTTTTGAGTTATTGTAGAGATGAGGTCTCGCCAAGTTGCCCAGGCTGTTCTTGAACCGGTGGGCTCAGGCAATCCCCTCACCGTGGCCTCCCAAAGTGTTGGGATTACAGGCTTAAGCCACCGCACCTGGCCCAACATTTCTTTAAAAGTCAATAAAAGCAAGACAGAAAAGCAAGTCAGAGATAAATGAAAAACAGCAAGATGGCAAATGTAAATTCAATCATATCAATAATTATGTATAATATATTAAACACTCCAGTTAAAAGCAGAAATTGTCGGACTGAATAAAAAAGATTGAATTAAAAAGATAGATTTTTATATTCAAAGACTGATAGGTTAAAAGTGAAAAATAAAAAAGATGTATCATGAAAACAGTAATCATAAGAGAGTTGGAATAACTGAACTGCTATTAGACAAAATAGACTAAGACAAAAACATTACTAGTGACAATATGGGACATTTTATAATGTTAAAAGAGCATTTTATTTATTTATTTATTTTTGAGTCAGAGTGTCACTCTGTTGCCCGGACTGGAGTACAGTGGCCGCTCCCGGCCACTGCAGCCTCGACCTGCTGGGCTCCGGCGATCCTTCCGCCTCAGCCTTCCAAGTAGCTGGAACTACAGGTGTGTGCTACCATGCCTGGCTAATTTTTAATTTATTGTAGAGATGAGGTCTCACCAAGTTGCCCAGGTGGGTCTCGAACCCGCGGGCTCAGGCAATCCACTCATCTCAGCCTCCCAAAGCACAAGATTACAGGCTGAGCCACCAAGCCCAGCTAAAAGAGCATTTTATAATGAGAAAAAAGCCTCAGTTTTTCAGAAAGATATAACAGGTATACAAATACATACCTGACAACATCACCAAAACACATGAAGCAAAATTGACAACATTGAAAAGAGAAATAGAAAATTCAACAATTATAAAAGGAGACTTCAATACAACATTCTCGATAATAGATAAAACAGTTGTCTAGAAAATCAGCAAAGATATAGAAGACATGAATGACACTGTGAGCTAACTTGATTTAATTGATATCTACAAAACACTGTACCTAATAATGGCAGGTCACACATTCTTTTCTAGTGCACATAGAACATCTTTCAGGGCAGATCATGTGTTAAGCCATGATCTCATAAATATAAAGAATTAAAATCATACAATGGATGTGCCCTGACCACAATAGAATTAAACCAAAATTCAACAACAGAAAGAAATGTGGGAAATTCACAGATGTTTAGAAATTAAACAAAGAATCCATGGGTCAAAGAGTAAATCACAAGGAAATAAAAAATATTTAGAACAAAATGAAAATATAACATATAAAAATGTGCAAGATGCAGCTTAAGAAATGCTTGGTGGAAATTATTAAATTGAACTTCAAAATAAATAGAAAATTTTAATAGACATATAACAAATACCAAAAAAACCCGCTGACTGAATTAAGTAATTAAAAATCTTTCCACAAAGAAAGTCCAGATCCAGATGGATTCATTGGTAAATTCTATTAAACATATAAATAAGAAATAATACCAATCTTTCACAGACTGCTCAAAAATGGAAAAGGAAAGAAACATTTTTTAAAACATTTTATAAGGCCAATATTCCCCCGATACCAAAGCCAGACAAGATATCACAGGAAAACCGCAGATGAATATTCCTCATAAATATAGATGCAAAAATCCCTAACAAATTTACAAAGCAAGTCCAGCAACATATAAAAAGTATTATACACCACAACTAAGTAGTACATATGCCAAGAAGGCAAGGTTGATTTAATATCAAAATCTAACTAATGTAAAATACCATATTAATAGAATGAAAGACCGAAACTACATTACCATCTCAATAAATGCAACAAAAATTTTTCTGACAAAATCCAGCACCCACTCCTGACAATACTGTCAATGAACTGTGAATAGAAGACAACTTCTTCAGCCTGATAAAGGGCACCTAAGAAAAACCTAGCACTAACATCATACTTCATGGTGAAATACTGACTGCTTTCCCCTGAGATTGAGAACACAGCCAGGCTACATGCTTTTGCCACTTATAGTCAACATTTGAGCTATAGCCAGCACAATCAGGCAAGAAAAAGAAATAAAAAGCACCCAAACTGAAAAAAAAAAGAAGTAAAACTGTCATTATTCTTAGATAATATGATCCTATACAGAAAATTCTAAGGAATCCGCACATGAGGAAAAAACATACATGATCTAAAAAGCAAATTCAGTAAGGTTGAAAAATACAATATTAATTGATAAAATTAATAGTATTTCTAAATACTAGCAGTACAAAATTCAAAAATAAATTTAAGAAAATAATTCCATTTTCAGTTGCATCAAAACATACTTAAGAATTTAACAAAAGAAGTGCAAAACTTACACACAAAAAATTACAAAACAGGGCAACCCCTGCAAGTCCCCTCCTGCTGTGGGAGCTTTTCTGTCCTCTCAATAAATCCTGCTTTAAAAAAAAAAAAAAAGATAGAAAGAAACAGAAAACTACAAAACACTGCAGATAGAAATTAAAAATTAAGTAGGGAGATAATCTATGTTCATAGACAGGAAGATTCAATATTGTTAAGATGACAATTCTCCCCAAATTGACCCATCGTTGAAAAGCTACCTCAACTAAAATTCCAGCAGGCTATATTGAGGAAACTAACAAGCTAATCCTAAAATTTACATGGAAATGCAAACACTCAGGATAGCCAAAGCAATTTTTTTTTAAGTTGTAGGATTTACAGTTCCCAGTTTCAACATTCATTATATAGCTATTGAAATCAAGACAGTGTAGTTTTAGCATAAAGGCTGTAGACATACAAATCAGTGGAACAGAGTTTAGAAATAAAACGATTTATGGTTAATTGATTTTTGACAAAGGTGTCAAGATAATTCAATGAAAGAATAGATAATCTTTTAAATAAACAGTGCTGAGAAACTCTATAGCCACATGCAAAAGATAATTTAGAGCCTTACTACACAAAGATGAACTCTTCACGGGTTTAGGCTCAAGTTTAAAAGTGAAAACTATAAGACATTTAGAAGAAAATATTTTAAAAATGCCTTATGCTCTTGGGCTAAGAAAATAGTGCCAAAAGCATGATCCACAAAATAAAAATTGATAAATTGCACTTTATCAGAACTCAAAACTTTCATACTTTTAAAAAAATGCCATTAAGTAAATGAAAAAAAATACATTGTCACCTGGGAAAAACTATTTGCACATCATATTTTTGATTGAAAAAGAACTTATATCCAAACTATATAAAGAACTCTTACAAATAATTAATAAGATAACCCACGTAAAAGAGCAAGAGGTCTGAGTTGACATTTCACCAAAGAAAATGTACAAATGGCTAATAAACGCATGAAAAGATGCTCAGCCCCATTAGTCACCAGGGAAGTACAAGCAAAGCCATATTAAGACACTGCTTTTAAACCTCCTATGTTGTCTATAAGCAAAAAGACAGACAATAACATTTGCCAAGGATGTGAGAAAACGGGAACCCTCATACACTGCTAGTGAAAATGTAAAATGGAACTTGGAAACCTACTTTGAAAAATAGTTTGGCAGTTTCTTAAAAATAAAAATAAATTTGCCATAAGACCCAGTAACACCACTCCCCTCCCATGTATCTTCCTAAGAGAAATGAAACCTCTGTCCGCACAAAGACTGTACACGAGTGCTTGTATCAGTTATCATAGCCAACTATAGAAAGAATCCCGTCATCTGATGAGTTGAAAAAGCACAATGTGGCATATCTATACACTGGAATACTGTTCAGCAATAAAAGAAATGAACTACTTATACATGCTACATACAATGTGTATAAACCTCAAAAACACGATGCAATAAGAAGTCAGATGTCAAAGACTACATACAGAGTGTATGATTCCAGTTAAATGAAATGTCCATAAGAGACAAATCTATGAAGACAAAAAGCAGATGGTGTTTCGTGGGACTGGGAATGGT